TGAAAATCAATAAAAATTCGAATTTCGCGCGCTTTTACCGGAAGTTAGCTTAGAAAACTCACACCTGGCCGCTAGGCCACCGGTTCCCACTTTGACTTTTCGACTTTTTTTTTCTTACTTTCTTACTTTTTTTTTGACTTTTTTTTGAATTTTTTCGTTATTTTTATGGGGATCTACATGGAATTCTGCACAAAATAAAGCAATAAAATTTTTCCCCGCACACCACTTTTAAATAGAAAAAAATTTTCGTCAATTACAGGTAAGCGGGAGCAAAGAGGTTGATGAAAAACTTCATATTCTAATTTTCCCCAGTATTATAATTTACACTTTTTAGATGAAGCCGGGAGATTGTAGCCGCCGATAGGCGGCGGAAATCGACAGGTTTTTTAAAAGTTATCAAAGTGGGAAGTAGTCAAAAATATAGAGTTTTTGGTTAAATTTTTGAAAAAATTATAAAATTTTCGAAAAAAAAATTCAAAAAAATCAGCTGCTGTACCAACAGCGGTCCGGCCAGGCCCGCCAAAATTCTCGACGGGGATTTGCATGTATGATTCAAAGTCATCTGAGAACGTTGGTCGCTATGTTGCAATACAAAGGGACCATTTTCTTTTTATGTGATTTCATTAGATACGAAAAAATGTCTCAAAGAATACAAAAAAAAATTATTGAAAGCCAACAACGACTCGGAACGCTTCTCCAGCACTGAAAATGTTTCCACGATGATACTGCCCATCCATCCAGTCTCCCGGTCCACGCTCCCTGACATCTGTATGGGTAGATCGGACCTCCACATTTTCGTTAGATCGTACAGTCAACATGAACGCGCAATTCTCCATTTCTCCTCTCCATTTCTGAACTTGCGAGTGGAGCATCCACTCGGCATTTCTGTTATTTTGCTCCCATCGATGACGATAGATGTGATCGAATTTCTTCTTCATATCCTCACTAAACTTTTTCATCTCCTCATCACTCGCAGTTCTTCCCTTTTTGCTTCTGAATATGTAGACGTTGGACGCCTTTCGATCCAACGACTCGATAGTTTGATCTGCAGGGTGTGCGGCTAGCAAGCATCGATACGCCGATCGGCATACGACGACGTAGAAGAGGTCCCTAGAAAAATTGCACTTTGGAGCAAATCTAGGTCTTCTCGGTTTCTATGAAACGTTTCAAAAAGTGGTCCTGACACTAAAAGCATTTTGTTAGTCAGCTACAGGTTTAATTTCATACTTTGTCATAATTTTCTCTAGCCCCTCTTTGATCAAATCTGCTTTTTGAGCGATCGTCTTTTCCTCATTGTTATCTTGAATACCCTCCACAAACTGACGAACTTTATCCGGCCAAAAATCGTCGCCGGCCTGAAAAACCGTTTTGCAAATCTCAAATTCCAAAATCCCCTACCGTATACTCTTCCTCCCATTTCTTCGCACATTTCTCAAACCACTGAAAATTCTCCGCAATCTTATCCGCTCTATACGTCCTTCCATCATGAAAAAGTCCACTGGCAATACTCTCCAACATCCAAAATTGTGCAAAAACTCCGCCTATAATATCTCGATGAGTTGTGAACGCCTCCTTCGTCATCAAACTATCCGCGGTCATTGCGGACTTTAAAAAGTTGGTCATCTCATTGTTGAGAAGTTGAAGAAGGGTCTGAAGCATTCTCAACACACATTTTCTAAAGTTCTGAAGCTTCAACAAACCTCGGAAAGCTCAACGGGCGAATGTTTATCATACATTTCTCTGAAAAACAGCACACTCGACTCTCGAGACTTCTCATCGTTGGTAACGGTGATGTCAGACCAGAATTGGCAGAGGATTGCAGCTTTAACAGCAATATTCTGCAGAATATGTCATGAGCAATATTAAAGATTGTTTAGCTTACATTATAAAAGTTTTGAGCCACAATGAAGGCTTTGAGGTCGTTGAAGTTTTTTTTCATGGAGTCGTCTAGCTGTAATAGGGTTTTTATGGTAGTCCTTACAACATGAGGCACACAATCACCCGGCCTGCTAAAAAAGAGTATTTCTTTAGGCACAAGTATCTTGAAAAAAACGAGAATTGGTAAAAATATATTTTTCGCGTTTGATTGAAAGCGATTCCTCAAGTCTAGGTATTGTTATGATTGTACAAAGATGCTCAATTTTTCTTGTGATTTCCATGAAATGAAGCTACTTTGACAAGCGATAACTCAGCTCAACTTCGTTCAAAGAATTTGAAACTTGGCCAGTTTACGGATGATCTATTTGAATTTTTGCCTTACAGTTTTGAGCTCAATACAACGCTTCATTTTATGCTAGTACAAATTTTAGTCAGGGTAATTATGTGCCACCTGGTTAAGAAGATAAGGGTAGACTGGAAAATGGACCATTTGGATCTGAACTGACTGACCAGAGATAGAAAGTACATGAGATCTAGCAGAGGTTCCATCAAGGAAAATTTTCAAATTTAGCGCCATTTTTCAGATGCCCTATCGGAAGAAAAAATACCGGCAAATAATTCGGAGGGTACAAAAATTTAGGGGTCATTGGGGTACAAAGTGATTTAGGGGTAC